TTAGAAAATTATCATTTTTTAAGCCCCTAATAAAATAACTGATTCAAGCAATGGTTTTCAATGGATGCCAAAATCACTCAGTGAAAGGTTGATGGAGAACTTTTCAGTGAAGGGTAAGGTTGCCATTGCCTGAAACTAAAGATAGATCTTAGCATCATTAAAAGCAAGATCACCGGACATGATATGCCTCCAGGTGTGATGCACTGGAGACTTACAAGGTACCCCATGAAGTATAAAGAAGCAAGTGACTGTATCCCTAGTGTAAAAACTCTACACGAGAATTGACCCAGTTTCTTCAGGAAGTCAATAGCACTGAGGAAAAATACAGGGAGAAGAATTAATTTATGTTAAAAGAGTTAGAGGCTGGGCACAGTGGCTCATGCCTGTAATCCCAGCACTTTGGGAGGCTAAGACAGCTAGATCACTTGAGGTCAGGAGTTTGAGACCAGCCTGGTCAACATGGTGAAACCCCATCTCTATTAAAAATACAAAAATTAGCCAGGCATGGTAGCCCACACCTGTTGTCCCAGCTACTCAGGAGGCTAAGGGGATAAGGGAACTTTTCCCATTTCACTTGCGCTGTGATTCAGCTCCCTTGGTGACCCTGCAGGGAGGCTGGAGGGAGAGAGTTCTCCCAGAGGGACCATCCCACACCCACTTCCACCTAAGAACACCCCAGTGGAGCAGAGCAGGCCCTCCCTGCTCCACCCCAAGCAGGGCTTGTGCCCTGGCCTTTCTGGGGTGTGCTCCTGCATACTTCAAGCTCAGCCAACATGAGATACTCTGACTCAGGTGTAGGGTCAGGTGAGGAGAAATGAATGAGACCGGATCAAGCCTACCCAAGCCTATGCACCGCGTTAAGGGTATACACACTCACTGGGCAATGGGGCAGGGTATTATCGTCCCCATTTTACAGATGAGGATATTAAAGTTCTCAGAGGGGTTGGGGCCAAGCCCTGGGGCCTTGAATGGCAGAGGGAGGCAGACAGAGTCCTGGGCAGAAGGGAGCAGGTCCCCACTAAGACCCCACTTTCAGGTCAGGGAAGGCCTGAAGGCTCCGGGCCAGGCTGCCAGTGGGGACTCATGGTGCCTCTTCCAGCCCGCCCATGGCCACCCATGGACCAATTGGCACGGACTTCCTCCCCCATAAAAGGTCCATAAAAGCCCTGGGTTCAGCCAGAGCAGATGAGAGGATGGCCAGAGGATGAGGAGAGCAGAGAGACGATGGGACAACCAGTTGCAGAGAGGCGTACTCTCTGCTGATAGCTGGAGATGATGGGATGGCTAGCTGCAGAGAGGAGCTACCTTCTCCACTGACATCTACAGAGACAACCTGCTGGCAGGGAGAAGCCACCCTCTCCAGGGCCTCCTCTCCACTGAGAACTGAACACTGGACAGATGACCTGCCTACAAAGAGGAGCTACCCACTGCCAGTCTCTGAGCTGTTGTAACACTAAATAAAACTCTTCTTCATCTTGTTCACTCTTCACTTGTCTGCATACCTCGTTCTTCCTGGACACAGGACAAGAACTTGGGCAAAGGTGCTGTGGCCACAGACGCTTCCAGTCAAAAATTTGACACCCCAAAGATCCCATAACACTAGGGCACTTGGACTTTATCCTGCGCATATGGGCTGCCACGAATAGTATTACACAGTGGGCAGCAGGTTCAGGAGAGCACGTTGGAAGGGGCTCTGTGGTGGCCAAGTGTGGTGGCTCATGCCTGTAATCCCAGCACTTTGGGAGGCCAAGCCAGGCCGATCACCTGAGGTCAGGAGTTTGAGACTAGCCTGGCTAACATGGTGAAACCCCATTCTACTAAAAATACAAAAATTAGCCAGGCATGGTGGCGCATGCCTATAGTCCCTGCTACTCAGGAAGCTGAGGCATGAGAATCACTTGAACCCAGGAAGCAGAGGTTGCAGTGAGCCAAGATCATGCCACTGCACTCCAGCCTGGGGAATAGAGCAAGACTGTCTCCAAAAAAAAAGAAAAAAGAAGGGGCTCTGTGAGGTCGTGTGGTCAGTGGATTAGAGAAAATGAGACCACAGCAGGGAAGTCACTAGGCTGTTATGCTGGCTCTGGAAAGAACCAGTGAGGGGCTGGAACCTGGCAGTGACCTGGGAGAGAGGGAAGAAGAGAGGGGCTGTGTGCATGAGACATTCTGGGGGTAGAACAGGAAGGATTTAAAAAAAAAAAAAAAAGATGTTAGCACACAGTAGGCTTTCTCTACCATCTCCAGTGTGAATGATGAGGGAGGTGATGAAGAAGTTCAAAATGGAGGACAAAGCCCAGATTTCTAGCTGAGGAGTGAGGTGCACTCTGGCTAAGGGAAGCAGCCCTTCCCCTAGGTGGGGGCCCACAGGGGGCTCCCTTTGGGATGTGTTGAATCTGAGTGATCTGTGGTACATCCTTGGGTCGGTGATCAAGAGGCTGTGAGATTTTCAGGTCTGGAGTGTGGGAGAGAGGTCACAGCTGGAGAGAGAACCTGGGAACCACCAGCAGAGGTGTATCCTGCTGCTATGGAAAGTAGACACAGATGACCCTGGGCTGAGAAGTGAGCTCCAGCCTCAAGACTTGGAGGCCATAAGGGCCAAAGGGTGACCTGTGGCAGGGGGTTGGAGGTTGAAGTTAAATCGTGCCCCCACAAAATTTGTGTCCACTGGACGACTGGTGTCCTTATGAGAAGATGAGAGGTCACAGAGACAAAGAGAAGAATGTTGTGAGGCAGAGACTGGAGTTATGCTGCCAGAAGCCAGAAAAGGCCTGGAGCTACTGGAAGATGCAAGAGGCAAGGAAACATTCTTCCCTGAAGCCTTCAGAGGGAGCATGACCTTGCCAACACCTTGACTTCAGACTTCTAACCTCCAAAACTATGAGAGAATACATTTCTGTCATTTTTAAAATTTTATTTTTAAAAATAAGACAGGGTCTTCTATGTTGCCCAGGCTAGCCTTAAACTCCTGGGCTCAAGTGATCCTCCTGTTGGATACAATGAGTTCTAAATTTCTCTTCAAAGAATCAGTAAGTCAATATGTTCAGTTCTTTGTCCTCCATTTTAAAGTTTGACTTCCTTGTAGTTTCAGTAAACAACCTTTCTCACCAGTTTTAATCAGTAGTTCACATCTGTTCCCCTGGTTACCTGCTCTGTGTCCTGACTCATCCTGGTCATCTGCTTTGATCTGAATCACCCCTAGTCACTTGCTCTGACCTAAGTCACCTTTAGTTACCTGTTCCTAACTGTCCTTCCCACAAAACTACTCACCCTGCCACTCTGGCTCATACCCCTGCTCTCTTTAAAATAGCCAATTGGAATTAGCTTAGACTGTGTGGTCCAACCCTAGCCAATAGGGCAATGACACAGCAGTAGGGGGTACCTGTGTCAGGAATAAGAACCCCTTCCCCTCCCTCATTCAGGTGTGCTTTCACCATTACTCCATTCGTGAGTCACACCCTTCTATAGAAGTAAAAATTGCCTTGCTGAGAAAATTAATGTTCGAGTGCTATTTCTCTGTGGCACCAAGGAACAAGCATTTTGTTTCTAACACTCCCACCTCAGCCTCCCAAAGTGCTGGGAATGCAGGCATGAGTTTGTCATTTTTAAGCCACCAGTTTGTGGCAGTTTTTTGCAGAAGCCTTTGGAAACTAACACAGGGTACTTGAAGCTGCAGGTCTCTACCTACAAAATGTACAAGATGTTCTTTCTGTGCTCTGCTTGCTGTGCCATTGTGACACACATCCCATCCCCCACCACCATTCTGACCCAAGCAACCCTCACCTCTCAACTGCACTGCAGCAGTAGCCTCCCCAGCACACAGACCAAGCCAGTTTTTCAGTCATCTTTCTACCACACTCTGTGCTTCTCCTTCACACTTCTGTGCAATTAAATTACTGATTTTTATGCATTCTATTATCTAAGGGTTTCTGCAAGGTTGAGTTGTCTGTATCTTGTCATTTGCATTGCATTGTTTCTGTGTGTTTTGTAATTTGGGATTGTGAGCTCATCTTTATCTGTGGGTTGAGGGTGTGACTATGCAGAGCAGATCTCATTTGCTTCTACCAGGCATCCCTGGGGTATTACCAGCCACAGACCACTTTGTAAATTAATTTCTCAGCTTCACGGTTCCTCAGACTACAAAGAAAATGTAAGCACAAATTCTCAACCTTTGGAAGGGTTGGCCTATAGTTGTAAATTCTCAAAGGAGAACTTTTTTCTTTTCCAATCCAAAGCATAAGTCAAGACAAACAAGCTTCACTATTATCTTTCTATGCCAGTGGGCAAGGGGATGGATGTTTTTTCTAGTCCACTCTTTTACTGAAAGTGTAACTTTATAATGGTTTTGGATTTGTGTGTGTTTGGGGTGATTAGATCCAAACACCTATTTCTCTTTTGCCAGGCCTCTCATATCTTGTCCCTAGATGGCTATTTAAAGCCAACCCCCTTGGTTACCCCTAGGACATCCCAAAGATCAGCTCCACACTTACCGTTCCTTTTTGTTTTTGGTTCCTGAATTTTTTTTTTCTTTTTTGAGACGAAGTCTCATTCTGTTGCCCAGGCTAGAGTGCAGTGGCACAATCTCAGCTCACTGCAACCTCTGTGTCCCGGGTTCAAGTGATTCTACTGCCTCAGTCTCCTGAGTAGCTGGATTTACAGGCACCCACCACCAGGCCTGGCTAATTTTTGTATTTTTAGTAGAAACAGGGTTTCACCATGTTGCCCAGGCTGGTCTCAAACTCCTGACCTCAGGTGATCTGCCCACCTTGGCCTCCCAAAGTGCTAGGATTACAGGTGTGAGCCACCATGCCTGGCCTATTTGTCTTTCTTATGAGTCCAACTATGCATCTAAAAGGAAGTTGGTTATACATTATCTGACAAATCTAGGTGTTTTGTTGAGAAGGTTTTCAGGTTATCTTCTCTGTCATTGTACGGAAACTGTTACCAAAACACTGGGAGTTCTGTTAGATCTTACTGCTCGCTGCACAGAAAGCTAATCACTGAGATGAGTATTGCCAGGGAAGGTTTTAATTGGGTGCTGTAGCCAAGGAGATGGGAGATTAGTATCAAATCAAATAAAATCAGGGGTTTACATAGCAAGGAAGAAATGTAACCATGTGTGGGAAAACAGGAATTTGGAAGGGGTAAGGAAGAAAAGTTGGTCAACAGGAAGCAGGTGGTCAGTTAGGCCATCAACAGGTGACAGGTCTGGTCAGTTTCAGCTTCTTGATACTATCTGGGAGCCTGGTTGGTTGGTTTCCTGAGAAAGGAACTCAGATAAGACAACTGTAACCTTCTCATTTCAAGACTGGGAGGGTCAATTTCTATGTTTATTCAAAATAAACCAGAAACATTAGTTCTATGGGACAATTGGGCCAGTTTAAAAACCATGAATCCTAATGATTTCTTTCTTGTCCATCTCCCTCTGCCAGATATTGTCTATTGTATTGAGCCCCACACTCACTCTTGCTTGCCTTTCCTTAACCTCCTCTTTGCCACCAGGCTGGAAGCTTACAAACTACATTTCCCAGATTCCCTTGCCAGTTGGGTTTCTGTGATGGTCTGCCAATGGGAGGTACTCATGCCAGAAAAGAAGATGGGAGGAAGACAGCAGCCATTTAGCTCCTGGCATTGGTTCCTACGGTGGCCATAAAGGAGCTCCTGAGAAGGAGCAGTGGTGGTAGGGGGTGGCCCTGGGCTCCTGTCTGGGAACTGGTGAATCATGCAGAGACAGCAGAGGGGCCAGGCAGCCAGCCATTCTGATAGTGACCGTGTCAGCCTCAGGGGAGTGTATCTTCCCACAGAGTGGTGGCCTTAGGAACAGTTGCATGATAGTGCAGGACAAAGGAATGTAGGCTCAGATGAGCAGCGGTTTCTACAGACAGTAGAGGCTTCCCCTGGTTCCCAATCGCTTCATATCGAGGATGCTCTCAGAGGTCCACCCAGAGCCCTCTGACTTGGTTACTTCAGAGTACACCTGCCCACTTCCAACTGCCAGTATCTGCATCCCTGTTCCTAGGGGCAGACATAGGCTCTGTGCTCAAGGGTGGCCATAAATGCTCACAGAATGAAGCTCCTCCCCCAGGAGATCCCAAGCAGTGACCCCTGAGATTTGGTGTGAAATACTCCAGTTCCCTTACTCCTCATGTGCGGTGACTGAGGCAAATGTTTCATATCCCTGTGTTTCCCAGGGAATGAAGCTCTAGGCAGCCACTGTGGTGAACCAGATGTTTGCCCTTGTTGGGTGCTCTCCCTTCCCAGTCTCCCTTTTCCGTTTTCCCGTTCCCCGCAGCTCCAAAAGTAACAACATGTGCTCAAATCCTTGTCTCAGGGTCAGCTCCTGGGGGAGCTGAAACCCTGAGTAACATCTCTTCCCTACTTCTTTGCACTTCCAGCCTTCTCTTTTTATTTTTGAGACAGCGTCTTGCTCTGTCACCCAGGCTGGAGTTCAGTGGCGGATCTCAACTCACTGCAGCGTCGCCTCCTGGGTTCAAGCAATTCTCGTACTTTAGCCACCCCAGTAGCTGGGATTGCAGGCATATGCCATCACGCCCAGCTACATTTTGTATTTTTAGTAGAGATAGGGTTTTGGCATGTTGGCCAGGCTGGTCTCAAACTCCTGACATCAGGTGATCTGCCTGCCTTGGCCTCCCAAAGTGTTGGGATTACAGGTGTGAGCCATCATGCCCGGCCACTTCTAGTCTTCTCTATGCTGACTTCCTCTATTGGATCCCTCACTGTGAAATCCCTGGAGTCCTTTCTCTTTTCCTGATCAGATCCCAACTGATGCACTTCTTAAACAGACTATAAACTGGAAAAGGGAAGCCTTAGTCACCACTCTATCTCAATGCTCAGCACAGGGCCCAGCACACAGTAGGTGCATAATAAACACTAGTTGACTGACATGCATGTGGAATGAAGTGCCTTTTTTTTTTTTTTTTTTTGAGACGGAGTCTCACATTGTTGCCCAGGCTGGAGTGCAGTGGCGCGATCTCGGCTCACCGCAACCTCCACCTGGCGAGTTCAAGCAATTCTCCTGCCTCAGCCTCCTGAGTAGCTGAGATTATAGACGCTTGCAACCAGGCCCAGCTAATTTTTGTATTTTTAGTAGAGACGGGGTTTCATTATGTTAGCCAGGATGGTCTCAATCTCTTGACCTCGTGATCCGCACACCTCAGCCTCCCAAAGTACTGGGATTACAGGCATGAGCCACTGCGCTCGGCCGAAGTGCTCTGACGCTTACTGAGTGCTCATTACACTTGCTGTGCATGCTCTCATTTGTTTCTCACGTCCTCCTGATGAGGAAGGAACCGGCATTGCTTTCATTTTGCAGATGAAGAAACAGAAGCTCAGAAAAATTGAGCGCCTTGCCTGGGAAACCTAATGTAAGTTTTCATCTCTACGTTGTAATTCCGTTTATCACCAAACTTTCAGAAAAGGCCTGTGAGACACCATAGTGTGGTCTGAGCATCACTCTGGATATTAGAGAAAGGCTCAGAGTGGTGGAATTCAGGAAACCGGAGCAGCCTGGAGGGAGCAGTTAGGAGATGGGGACTAAGGGATGCCCTTGCAGTGCCTAGAGCCGCAGCAGTCCAGCGGCCGAGGGCTGGCAGAGACAAGAGATGACAATGGATGTGTGACACTGATCCTAGATTCCCAGTATTTTCTAGTTTTTTTTTTTTTTTAATGTCCCATGATTCAAGTGATGGAGGCTTCTTATTATGTATCATAAACAGCAAACATCGGCCGGGCGTGGTGACTCATGCCTATAATCCCAGCACTTTAGGAGGCCAAGGTGGGTGAATCACGAGGTCAGGAGTTTGAAACCAGCCTGGCCAACATGGTGAAAGCCCGTCTCTACTAAAGATGCAAAAAATTAGCTGGGCGTGGTGGCACGCACCTGTAATCCCAGCTACTCAGGAGGCTGAGGCAGGAGAATCACTTGAACCTGGGAAGCAGAGGTTGCAGTGAGCCAAGATCGTGCCATTGCACCACTCCAACCTGGGTGACAGGGAGAGACTCTATCTCAAAAACAAATAAACAAACCCAGCAAACATCATCTTGTTTATGGTCTGTCACTGATGGGTTAGACCTGGAGACCTGTGCTTACATACCCAGACCCACTCACCCTCTCCCACCCGCCGGGGGCAAAGAAAACTCACTGGAATGTCTTCCATCTGGATAGAGTTCACATTTCCCAAAGCCTGCTCACACCGCTAAGTATCATACCCATAATCCGTACCTCTTACATCCTGAGTGTTTGGGCATAAGCAAGACCATTTTGCAGGCGGGGAATTTGATATTCTGGGATGCCCGCGTGAGATGCACCTGATTGGATGGGCTGTTGAGCTCCTCTAGCTTCTCTGAGTGGCCTCTGTTACCCCAATCTGCTCTTTGCGTCCTACGTGTCAGGGGAAATTCCTCTTCAGCTCCAGGGACTCTGGGATCCCTGAGGACCTGGCTGAGTTGAGTGGTAGCAGAGAGGGTGGGAGAGGTCCTGCTGAAGGCAGGGAGACACTTTCCTTGGCTGAGCCAGAAGCTGAGAAATCAGTGGCTGTACCCGCTATAGCTGCAGGAATGTGGCCTTGGGGTATGACGACCTTCTCCCCTCCCTCCCCAACCATCTGGTTTGCCTAAGACTCAGGAGCTTCCTAGGACTCAGGATTTACAGTGCTAGCACCAGGAATGTTCCAGACAAACCCAGGCAAACTGGTCACCCTGTGTCCTGAGGCTCTGCCATCTCTGTTTCTCATCTCCAATCCTGGTCACTCACTGTTCTCTGAGCAGAGGCTCATTCCCATGCCTGGGCCAAGTTGTTCCCACACCTGAGCCACGCTTCTTGCCTGCTTTACCTACTGATTCTGCTCTGCCTCCAGGTGCCACCACTCTCCTTCCAAGAAGCCACTCACTCCTTTGAATGGATGGCTTCCACCTGAACTGTCCTCAGAGTATGTCCCATGGTCCTCCCTGTGCTGCAGCCAGCTGCGCCTGCCTTTAGCTTTCCACGGGCCTCAGGACTTCTCAAGGACTGGGTCTGCGCCTGCCTCACCTGTCCCCCTAGCATCAGGCACACACCCTGGCTTGGCCTGAGTGGGACACCCTACCAACACTCTATGAAAAGACCCAGGATGCAAGATGGGGTCTCTGTGACATCTGGACTCCAGGAGGAGAGCCAGCAAGAACAGGGTGGCCGAAGGAAAAGCTGGCCCTAAATGATACATTCATCCCTCTCTTAATCCCAACAACCCTACGGGGAAGTTATTATTCTTACCACCATTTTACAAGGAAAACTAGAGTTCAACTAAGTTAGTTGACCTGCCCAAGTTCACAGCTAGTATCAGTGGTGCCTAAATTTGAGCCCAGTTCTCACTTATTCCAGTGACATGCTCTTAACCACTATGATACGTTGATGCATTTTATAGAAACCCTTTCTGGGACAAGGCAAGGGCATGAGTAAATAAAAAGCAGGGAGGAGCGGCAGGATGAATTTAAGGTTGTAAACTGACACCAGTTAGGTATGAATTGAGCAGGTGTGTGGGCTGCATTATTTAACATAAAAGGTCAATAGCCCATTTTTTGTAGTCACTCTGAGAAGAAGTAGCTTCTAATGTGTCCCCTTCAGCCACCGTTCAAGAGGGTGGGAAAGGAGGGATGGCGAGGCAGATGACAAGGAGGATGGGCAGGGCAGTCTGCTGCTAAGAAAAGTCAGTGTAAGACCTGACTGAAGACACAGGCATGTGGTGGCTCACACCTGTAATGCCAGCACTTTGGGAGGCTGAGGCAGGCGGATTGCTCGAGCCCAGAAGCTCGAGACCAGCCTGAGCAACATGGCAAAACCCCATCTCTACCAAAAATACAAAAATTAGCTCAGTGTGGTGGTATACACCTATAACCCCAGCTACTCAGGAGGCTGAGATCACCTGAGCCCTGAGAGGTCGAGGCTGCAGTGAGCTGAGATCATGCCACTGCACTCCGCCTGGGGGACAGAGTAAGACTCTGTCTCAAAAAGGAAGGAAAGAAAGAAAAAGGGAAGGAAAGAGAAGGGAGGGAGGAAAGAAAGAAAAGAAAGGAAAATGAAAATGAAAGAAAGAAAAGAAAAAAGAAAAGAAAAGAAAGAGAAGAAAATAAAAGAAAAGAGAAGAAAAGAAAAAAGACAAAAGGAAAGAACTGACCCAAAATGATAGCAAGATGTTTTTGGAAGGTTCGCATAGGATTTCATAGTTACCCAAACCTCTGCCTCCTCCCTGCCATCCCAACTCCCAACAGTTCCCAGGGGCCTACCTACCAGAGTGTTTTAAAGTCCTCCAGCCTAGCCGACTCTGGGTTCAGGCTCTGCCTCCAGAAGGCTCCTGGGGAAAGGGCATGGGATGCAGGGTGGGTATCAAGGCCTTTGTCTACAGCCCTGAGGCTGCACACACAGCAGCAGAGCTGGGGCCTGGAGGCAGAGCTGGGGCAGTGGGCGTCTGAAGCAGGAGTGGGGTCAGACAGTGGCTAGAGGGCCTGGGGATCTCTTTGCAATTCTCCACCTCCCTGGGAGGGGGGCCAGAGGCAGATCAGAGCCCAAAGGTCAGATGGACACTTTGACTTCAGTGAGTCAACAGGGAAAGGGAGATTCCCTGGGACCAGTTCCCACCCCAAACTCAAATGAGTGTGAGGTTTCCTGCTTCCTCTTCAACCCCAACCCCCAGGCACCTGAGCTGGGGGCCCATGGTGTAGCAGATGGTGGCGGGCAGGAAGCCATTGAAGCTGCAGCTCATGGAGGATGTGTAGGCACCCATGGAGGGGAAGACCAGCCAATCGCCTACATCAAGCTCGGGCAGCCGCACATCCTCCAAGAAGAGCCTGTCAGAGGCATCGCATGTGGGACCATAGAGTGTGCAGGGGAAGAGGGGCGGCTCTGAGCAGAACTCCTGTGTGACATAGGAAAGGGGGTCAGAAAAGACAGCAGGCTGGCCTATCCCACCCCTTACCTGGAAGCCATTGAAAGACCCGGAAGGGCACTCCCAGGGGCACACGGATGTACACTGGCTGGGACCCATCCCTCTGTGGCCGCTGCCCAGCCTGGCCAGGTCTGATGTGCCTACAGGTAAGGGCTCGGATTCCTCCTCTGTAAATGGGGCTGTTGTCTTCATTCATTGCTATAAGGCAGCAGTTGAAAACTCAGTTACCTAGAGGTCCAGCAGGTAACACAAATGAGTGAAATGTACCAGGTAAGTCTGACAACAAACTGGAAAGTCACTGTCTGTCTAAAGGGGAAAGCCACTGCTGGAAGTCCGTTCCAGCAGATCACAGCCCCTGACGTGCTAGACTAATTTGTTGAATTATTTGTTGCCTTGTTTTTCTGCAGGCCATGTATCATCAGATCTCTCAAATGTTTGAGAGGAGCTGAGAAAATCCAGGCTTTTATGAAATATGTCTTGATTTTTTAATATGGGCAACTAAAATTGAAAACTATTGTGGGAACCAAACAAACACAGGGTCTCCTACTGATTCCTCCATATCCAGTACTCACTCCACCCAATGGGAAGAGAGGCAAATACACACATGAAGACACACACCCAGAAACACTTCACACACATACGCACTCGCACATGCATGCAGACACACATCATATACATGACCAAATGTGTGCACACACCAAGACGTTCACTGGCCAGGAGAAACAGTCAAGATATTTACAAAGCAGCGTGGCCCGGATACCAACCCATCACATCAGGAGACAACTGCCCTGGAGCTGGAGGAAGATCCTGTTGGCCCTACAGGGTCAGGTATCCCAGCTTTGTTGCCAGATCATGGGTGGGACTGAGCAGCAAGGGCGTCGGCAGGGAGGCCCCTGGTGGACTCGGGGGAATAGCTCTTTAACCACCAGGGAGAAGAACGTCAATATTTTGGAAAACATCCCATGCCTTTGTGTTCTGGTGACTGTCCCTTTGCCTGACAAGGCCCCCATAGCCAGCTGCTGCCCATGCTCTGACCTGTGAGCACGCATCATGTACGTGTCCATGCGTGCTCTAAGCAGCAGGCCAGGACCTGCCTCAGGGGTCCAGCACAGCCACTGTTCCCAATGGGGGAGGCACAAGGCACCTCAAGGTAAGGGACTAGACTCTTGGGGCTGGAGTGGCCCCCTTACCTTCACCACGATGGGAACCCTTGGGACAGGCTCTCGGTGGCCAAGGCGGAAGGAGCCATAGTGGCCATCATTGAGATAATACATCAGCTTCTGGCTGCCTCCTGGGGAGAGCTCAGTCACTACTCTGACCCCCAGCTCCTGGGACAGAGCCCCAACCCTCTGCCCTTCCTCTCTTCCAGGGCCTGGGGATGCCTGGACAGTGGCCTCCCCACCCAGTGCCATCCTGGCCCACCCACCGGGCTCCAGCACAGCCTTCTTGGCAATGATGTTGACAGCAGCCGTGCAGACAGACTCCATATAGAAGCGGCCTGGCTCTGCGATGACCTTGACACCACGCTCCTCAGGGAAGTCCTGGGCCAGGGCAGCACTGATCACTCTCGCCATCTGGAATGGGGTGGAGGGACAGCAGGAAGAGGTTAACTCATCCAACACTTGTTGATGTGCCAGTGCCTGTGCCAGCGCCTTACCTGCGTCAGTCCTTTCATCCCCAAGGCACCCTGCAGGGTAGGCATTAGAATTATCCCTGTTTACCAAAGAGGAAACAGAAGCTGAGAGACAGGAGGTCACTTGTGTGGGGTTGCTACCCAGCAGGCTCCCTGAGAAGTCCCAAGATGCAGCGATTTAATCCGATGCAAAGAAAGAAGATGAGTGTCTTGTGGACCCAGGGAATGTAAACTCCCAACTATAACTGTATTGGTGATGCTAACAAGAATTCTACAAGGAAACATACACACATACAGACACACAGAGAGGCATAGCCCCCAGAACCCTTGCTGCAGCTGCAGTGGACACCCTGTGCCACCTTCCCGCAGCCTACCTTAGCTCATCTGCCCTGTGCAAGATGATTTCCAGCCTCCAGTGCCTGCCCCCCTTTGCTTCTTGCTCTGTGGGCTTTCTCCAGCACCCTCAGAAACTAGCTGGAATGTGGGGAAATTAACACCCCCAGAACACAGCCTTCAACCAAAGAGGGACAGGAGTTGGTGAATAAAGGACCCAGCCCCTTGTCATCTAGTGGGATGATTCTGAGGTTCTACATTGTCCCCAGGGGGACAGGTGCAGGGGCCCACAGTGGTAACCAGCTCATAGATGAATTCTCTTTGACTTTTCTCCCTTCTGTCTCACTTTCCTGACTTCCTCACTGGCGCTTCCATGGATCATCTCCAAAAAAGCTACTTGTATCCAAGTGTTTGTCTCAGAGTCTGCTTTTGGGGGATATCAAAGCCAAGACATGCACGTACACAGTTACCCACCTGTGCACACAGAGCACACCCAGAGACACACCAGAGAGACCTAAACACAGAGGTACATGGATGAACACAGACTCCCACACACACACATGCCTGGGCACACACACGGACCTCCCTGAACACCCCCAGCGCCCCTGCCAGCTCACCTCCTCAAACTTGGGCCCGGAGTCCTCCGTTCCGGGGAAGCCCCCTCCGATGTCCAGGCAGCTCATATCATGCCCAGCCCCGCGGCCCATTTCAAACACGCACCGGCAGTCAGCGATGGCCTGTGTGAAGCTCTGGGGTGTCTGGCAGTTGGAGCCCACGTGGAAGCTAGCACAGCCAGTGCATGTGACATGGTGAGAGATACGTACAGAAACACATGAAACACAGTTCCGAACCACAAAGCCACACGGACTGTGGATAACTGCGACAGAGACAGAGAGACACAGTCACACATAAGGCACAAAACCACCGGGGCCAAATGCAGAAACAAACAGCTGGAAACATAACTGATTACACGGGCGTAAGTGTGTGCTTTTAGACACCTGCACACTCAGGCCAACGAGGCACCCACGAAGAGGCACTCACCCGAGTGTTCACACGCACACACACTTAGACACACACTGCCGTGGAGCCCGTGATCCCAGCACTGCCACGTGGGCTCCCCTTCCCCTCATGGATCCTTCACAACAAGACCCCAAACCCCCCAGGGCCTCAGAGCAGGGAGGCCCTGAGTAACCTTCACATTACATCCTGTCCCTTTAGACAGATGGGGTCTCACAGGCCCCAGAGAGGGGCCACAGCTTGCCATGGGCCCCAACTGATGACACTTACGCCAGTGTAATCAGTTATGTTTCCAGCTGTTTGTTTCTGCGTTTGGCCCCAGTGGCTTATGTGTGACTGTGTCTCTCTGTCTCTGTCGTAGTTATCCACAGCAAGGGAAGGGCTCCTGGAGTCCTCAGGCATCGCTCACCTGGCTCCGACCACGGCCAACCCCAGGTCTCTGGCAGACGTTAGCAGGTGCCCACATGCCTCCAGGCTGGCCCCGAACTTGGTACTCAGAGGGAAGGTGCTCTGGCTGTCCTGAGTCCTCAGCCGGAGGAGCAGTCTGGAGGAGGGACACCGAGGATAGGGAAGAGGGAGAGAGCACTCAGCCAGAGACGCCAAGGGGCCCAGGGCTGCTTATACCACCCCCACCTGTGCCCAGCTGATTCCCAGATCTGGGATGTTTTCCAATGCCACCAAATCCATGTGGCCATCACCCCAGCCCAACACACTTGTGTATACATCTACTTTTCCCTAGGTACACCCAGAGAAGGGAGTGTAGAAAACTGATAGTACTGGTAAGCACCTACTATGTGACAGGCAACATGCCCCCATGTTGTAAATGAAGGAACCGAGTTTTAGAAATGTTAAAAGAGACTTGCCTAGGCTGGACGCAGTGGCTCACGCATGTAATTCCAGAATATTCAGAGGCTGAGGCAGGTGGATCACCTGTGGTCAGGAATTCGAGACCAGCCTGGCCAACACAGTGAAACCCCATCTCTACTAAAAATACAAAAATCAGCCAGATGTGGTTGCGGGCGCCTGTAATCCCAGCTACTCTGGAGGCTGAGACAGGAGAATCACTTGAACTCAGGAGGCAGAGGTTGTGGTGAGTTGAGATTGCACCACTGCACTCCAGCCTGAGCAACAAGAGCAAAACTCTGTCTCAAAAAAAGAGAGACTTGACTGGGCACGGTGGCTCACACCTGTAATCCCAGTACTTTGGGAGGCCAAGGCAGGCGGATCACAAGGTTAGAGTTCAAGACCAGCCTGACCAACATGGTGAAGCCCTGTCTCTACTAAATACACAAAAATTAGCTGGGCATGGTGGCACGAGCCTGTAATCCCAGTTACTCAGGAGGCTGAGGCAGGAGAATGGTGTGAACCTGGGAGGCAGAGGTTTCAGTGAGCTGAGATCGTGCCACTGCACTCCAGCCTGGGCAACAGAGCAAGACTCCGTCTCAAAAAAAAAGAGACGTGCCCAATGCATACATCAGGTAAGCAACAATGCCAGGATTTGAACCTGGGTTGTCTCACTCCAAAGGCAGCTGCCAGACCGTCTTAAAATGGCTGGGCTTTGAGGGTCCTCCCCTTCACTTGTCTCAGGCCAGCATTTGTCAGGGGTGTGCTGTGTTGGGTGATACGTTCTTTACTGCTGACTCTCAGCCTACCTGCCTGCACCCCTGCTGGTCTCACCTGGCCCCAGGATGGTGCTGGGCCACCTTGGTGAGCTCCTCCTCGCTGTTGAAGGTCAGGAGTTGCACCCCGTGCCGGGCAGCATACCGGATGTGGGAGGCAGGCTTGCAGGGGTTGGCATAGATGATGCGCGAGGGGGCCACGCCCAGGCCCAGCACCTGCTCCAGTTCCACCTGGAGTGGCCAAGAGCCAGGGTTGGGGGCTGCCTCACTGCCCCCCTCCAACTATGTGGGGACAGGAACTCTGTGCATGAGCCAAAGAGGTTGCCCTGATGGAACCCTTGGTTTGGGTCCCATCCCCGGCTCCCCCACTTTTAGGCAGGAGCCCTGGGTGGGGTTGACAGGGTGCTTATTATGGAGTCCCTGCCAGGCAGGGCAGGGTGGGGCTCATAGTCTCAACGTGCCCTGTGCTCTAGGTGCTCATAGTCTCAGCTTAGAACCAACCCCCCTCCCATCAATTTCAGCCCCATAGAGAGGAGATGGGCTGGCTTCCTAGAGGCAGCTGGTGCACTTAATCCTGCTTAGTGGAGCGTTCCTCAGAAAGGGAGGAAGGGCTGGTCCGAAAGTGGTGAGTTATCTCAATTGATTGTAACAGTCAGTTACAGATGAACTCCTTGTTCTACTCTTCCCCACTTCTCACTACTACATTTGACTAGTCTTAAAAAGAAAGGAAGGAAGGAAAGAGGCTCAGCAAAATACTCCCATCCTGGGTTCTCCCCCTTCCCACCCTTGGGCTTTGGCTCTAACCTCCCTCAACGTTGCTGAATCCCCTTCTGCTAAAAACCCCTTGGAATGTTGCACCCCTGGTGTAAGAAAAAAATGCCAGCTTTGGATGGATCATCTCTGTCTCTTACCATATGTTGGCCCATGGGCAAGTGATTCCCCCTAAGGCTGTCTCCTCCTCTATGAAATGCAGATCCCCTGGCTGCCTTGCAGAGCGGATGGGAGGATCAAGGAGAATGCATGTTAGGCCCCCTGCAGTGTGCTTAGCGCATTTCAAGTGCTCCTTGGGACAGGGGACACGTATTCATGACCTCAGCAGCAGCAGCCTGGGACTCCCCCGCTTCCAGCTGGCCTGGCCTAATCCTCGGCGGGAACAGGCTCACCTGGCTGGCACAGTCAAAGCCGGTGCCCAGGGCGGCCAGGACACGCAGCACCCAAGGGCTACTGTTGCACTTCACTGCATAGAAGGGTGAGACCTGTGGCAGGGCTTGGCAGAAGGCCTGATGGCGACTGGCCAGCATGTCCAGGTCAGCCAGCATGAAGGGGTCTTGCTGGTCCTACGGGATAGGGAGACAGGGAGGAAAGGCTGAGGGGGTGGATTATCTCATTTAATCCTCATAACAGCTCTATGAAGTAAGGGCTGCTGTTATCCCCATTTTGGAGATGGGGAAGCAAAGGCTCAAAAAGGTGGTCACTGGCTCAAGGTCCTACAGCAAAAGCATGGCAAAGACAGGGTCTAAACCCAGGTCTCCTAAGCCTAGGGAGACCACCCTTGACACTGTTCCATTCTGCCTTGTGACGTGTGCCACGGTCCTGGGTAGGAGAGAGGAGCCTGCTGGGCTGGGGCAGCTCCAGGCTCTTTGTTCTACAGTCATTCAACAGAGTTCTCCAGCACCTACTCTGTACCAGGCTCTAATCTGGGTACTGGGGAAAGAGCAGTGAAGAAAACAGATCAAAAATCCCTGTCCCTGTGGAGCTTCCATCCAACTGAGCCACAGAGAAAAAGGCGTGGACTCAGGCAGCATGAGCTGATCAATCAACTCTCAGGAGCCACACACTGTGCTGGGGGAAGGGACGGAGATACTCTATAAATAATTCCATTGCACAGATGCAGTCACTGAGGTGCAGAGGACTGGAGTGCCTCACCCACGTTCTTACTGCCAGACAGCAGCACAGTTGACATTCAATCCCAAAAAGAAATGGGTTCAGGGACACCTGTAGGCCAGGATATTTTGAGATATCTATTTTTTTCCCTTCTGATTTTCTCTCTTCTTCTCCCCCTCATTGATGCCAGTGTCTGGCTCTATAATGTCCCTGGGAAGAGATGTGGCCAGGCAGGAGGCGGCTGTAAGACTTTCTGGCCTTCTTAGGGAAGCTTAGCCCTTGGGAGAAAAGGATGCCAGGGTGCAAGAAAAATGTCATAGTGACACCGATAGAAGGCCTTCCCTCAGACCAGGAAAAGGGTCCGCTGACTGGCAGGGATGGGGTGGTGAAGAAGGTAAGAGAGCTGAGACTTTGTGTCCTAAGTGAGTCTGAGGGGAGGTAGGATGGAGTCCCTGGAAGCCAGTGGGGAAATGGTAAGTCACCGGGTGAGTCTAGAGCAGGTCTTCCCAGCCTTCATGTGCAGGTAAATCCCCCAGATCCTGTCAACTCTATGCTCCGTGCAGTCAGTCTAGGGTGGACAAAGAGTCTGCACTGCCAACAGCTTCTCCAGTGATGGTGACAATCAGGTCCAGACGAGATTATGCACGGAGGCAGCATAGCCCTAAAAACCCAGGGAGCTGGGGAAGCCAGGAGGACAAGCAGGCAATCGTCTTTGTAGACCAAAGCTGGAGGACCCCACAGCTTGGCACTGGGTAAAACCCCAAGTGGTGGAAACAGGCATGGCAGGAAGAACAAAAGTCAAGCTTTCCCATTAGCCCCAGCACAAGAGAGCCTTGAGAGAGACGGCCTAACGGCGTTACAGAACGGTGAAACAGAAAGCCTTATTTCTTGCCACTAAGGAAGACCTTAGTCTTCCCAGCTCCCCGTCTTTCCCCTCCCTCCATACCGAATCAGAAAGTTCCTGGATCCTCCGCAGGACCATCTGCTGGGCAGATTCTTCCGGCCCCAGGGCGATGAGCTCCTTTGGCCATGGCCTTCCATGGGCTTCCTTCAGGCCCTCCAGGCAGGTGCTCATCCCTGAAACTCCAACTGAGCCCTCTACCGGGTGTGGTCCTGGCATCCTGGAAAAGACTTGCTCTTGTGACCCAGCCTCCTCCTAGCTCCCAGCTCCCCACTCCCCACAGGCCCTGGGAGCCAGAGCTCCCAAGTAAGTTTTTTTTTGGTGTGTTTTTGTTTGTTTGTTTTTTTGTTTTTGAGATGGAGTCTTGCTCTGTTGCCCAGGCTGGAGTGCAGTGGTGCAATCTCGGCTCACTGCAACCTCCACCTCCTGGGTTCTAGCAATTCTTCTGCCTCAGCCTCCCTCGTAGCTAGGACTACAGGTACCTGCCACCACACCTGGCTAATTTTTATATTTTTACTAGGAACAAGGTTTCGCCATGTTGGCCAGGCTGGTCTCCAACTCCTGACCTCAAGTGATCTGCCCGCCTTGGCCTCCCAAAGTGCTGGGATTATTATAGGCATGAACCACCATGCGCAGCCTGGAGGCCAGTATTCTAAGTGAGGTAACACGGAAGTGGAAAACCCAAAACCGTATGTTCTCACGTGTAAGTGGGAGCTAAGCTATGAATATACAAAGACAAACAGAGTAATATAATGGATTTCAGAGACTTAGAAAGTGGAGGCTGGAGGGGTGCTAGGGATAAAAAAAAAAACTACACATTAGGTACAATTAACCCTACTCAGATGATGGGTGCACTAAAATCTCAGAATTCACCACTGTATAATTCATCCATATAACAAAAAACAAAACAAAACAAAGCAAAAAACAAACAAACAAAAAAAAACACTTGTACACCAAAAGCTAATTTTTTTTTTTAAAGCAGCAGGAGGGAGTCAGCTGTGTTAGATTTCTCTCAGTGTTTTAATTTTGCAAAGGCAGTTTCAGGAGTCAGATCTACGGTGTTCCTGGGCTTCAGGTAAATCCCTATGGGAAGAGCGGAGTCCAGCCCAGATCTTAAGGGATAGGGGAAGTACTTCCCTAGCTGTCCCCTCTAAACCTCGGCCACCCTGGACTGCTCAGCCCAAATCTCCCAAGCCAGGAAAATGTACCTTCTTAGGTCTGTCCGCAGGACAGGTGCACAGAGAGGAGTCCGACCCCTGTTATAAGCGAATGCCGGCAATGATGAGAAGTGGAGGGAACCTAGAAACCTCCCATCCACTCTTTCCACTCTGCAGATGGAAAGCTGTGAGGCCCAGAGGTCTCCAGATCATTCAGCAAACCAGGAGTGAAACTGGGAATAGGACCAAGGCCTCAGACTCCAACAGGGAGCTGGTTCCAGTGCCTCGGAGCACCAGTTGCTGTCTCCTGGGGTCATGTCTCTTACCCTCCACTGCAGATTTAAGCATCTCACTGGAAGTGTCTTCGAATGGAAGTGGGAGCCTGTGTGCGTCACTCAGGGTCTAGTCATCTCCCCTCCCTCTCCCCATCCTCCCTCTCCACGTGGACTGCTGAGGTCTCGCCTGAGCCCCGCCCTCCCTCTCCACGTGGACTGCTGAGGTCTCGCCTGAGCCCCGCCCTCCCTCTCCACGTGGACTGCTGAGGTCTCGCCTGAGCCCCGCCCTCCCTCTCCACGTGGACTGCTGAGGTCTCGCCTGAGCCCCGCCCTCCCTCTCCACGTGGACTGCTGAGGTCTCGCCTGAGCCCCGCCCTCCCTCTCCACGTGGACTGCTGAGGTCTCGCCTGAGCCCCGCCCTCCCTCTCCACGTGGACTGCTGAGGTCTCGCCTGAGCTCCGCCCTCCCTCTCCACGTGGACTGCTGAGGTCTCGCCTGAGCTCCGCCCTCCCTCTCCACGTGGACTGCTGAGGTCTCGCCTGAGCCCCGCCCTCCCTCTCCACGTGGACTGCTGAGGTCTCGCCTGAGCTCCGCCCTCCCTCTCCACGTGGACTGCTGAGGTCTCGCCTGAGCTCCGCCCTCCCTCTCCACGTGGACTGCTGAGGTCTCGCCTGAGCTCCTCTGGCCCTCCCAGGCTGAAGCCACCACCTTGGGGCAGGCCCACCTCAGGGATCAGCTGTAATCTCCTGCAGGCTTACAGCCCACCTCTGTGTTGTGACCCAGAACCTCCTCTGCCTGTTCCAGTGAAGGACAATCAGCAGGGAGTGGGCTGCTCTCCAGGTTTTTGTCTACCAGCCATGCCCAGGGCAGAAGGTGGGAAGGAGGGCAGAGATGGCAGGGCTGTGAACCCCAAATATTTGAGACAGATCTCAGTCAATGTAGAAAGTTTATTTTGCCAAACTTAAGGATGCACCCATCACACAGCCTCAGGAGGTCCGGACGTGTGCCTGAGGTGGTCAGGGCACAGCTTGCTTTTATTCACAGGGAGCCAGGAGACATCAATCAATGTGTGTAAGATGTACATTGGTTCAGTCTGGCAATGTGGGACAACTTGAAGGCAGCAGGGGTGCTTCCAGGTCATAAGAGACAAAAGGTTGATAAGAGATGAAAGATTGCATTGAGTCCTTGATGAGCCTTTCACTGAACACACAATTTAGTCTGACTCAGTGAATCTGCATTTTTACATAAACAATAGGGCAGAGGAAACAATCAGATATGCATGTGTCTCAGGTGAGCAGAAGGATGACTTTCTGTCCGCACCCCTGAAGACCAGTTATTGGTTTACACTGCCAGAGTGAAATTCAACAGAACTCTTTTAGGATAAAGATCTTGAGGCCCACAATGACTTTTCTTGTGGGCAGTTTGTGAGGGAGGTATGTAGCTATTTAGGAATAAAATGGGAGGTAGGTTTGCCTGACATAGTTCCCAGCTTGATTTTTCCCTTGGCTTAGTGATTTGGGGATCCCGAAGTTTTATTTTCCTTTCAAAGGGCCCAAGTCTTCCTCTGCCTGGGGGAAGCAGAGATAGGGGCCTTTCCCCAGAAACGAACCTGCTCTGAGACCTTGGACCAGCTGTTCTTCCTTTCTCTCGGCCTGCCTCTCACTCGCTGGCCCTCCATAGCCCTTTCTCCTTGATATAGCAGAGGGCTTAATCCCAAGGGCTTGACATCGGCCTGATTTGCCACTTACCAAGCCTGGTGTGCCACTTGCAACGAATTTGCTATGGGAAAGTTAGTTGACTGCTTTGAACCTCAGTTTTTTCAACTGGAAAATGGGGCTTTGAGGCCAGTTATAAGATTAAGATATAAAAAGAAAAGATATACAAAGTGCCTCACTCTCACCGCTGCTGTTTATGTCTGTATTTTTATCCATAGGAACTTTCCCTGCCAGATTGTGTTGGTCCCTCTGCTTAAAACAGGGACCAAATCTGCATTTCTTGGGTCCCCAGTGCCTAGGATAAGACTTGGGCTGGGGCGTGGTGACTCACACCTGTAATCCCAACACTTCGGGAGGCCAAGGTGGGTGGATAGATTGAGCCCAGCAGTTGGAGACCAGCCTAGGCAACATGACAAAATCCTGTCTCTACGAAAAAATACAAAAGTTAGGCGGCTGTGGTGGCACACACCTGTGGTCCCAGCTACTTGGGAGACTGAGCAGGAGGATGGCTCGAGCCCAGGAGGTTGGGGCTACAGTGAGCTGTGATCATGTTACTTCATTCCAGCACTCCAGCCTGGGCAATAGAGACCCTGTCCAAAAAAAAAAAAAAAAAAGACTTGGCACAGAATTCAGTAAATATTTGTAGGATAAATTAATAAATGGATGTCACAGCTAACATATGAGATCTGGGATTTAGATCAGCTCCCATCTGACTTCACATCCTATAGGGATCCTGAACAGAAACATCAATGAGGCAGAATTGAGGGCTCAGAAACAAAGCTGATAGCAAAGACTGGAACATGTCACCAATCACCAAAGAAGGTGAAAGGGACAGAGAAGTGGTGCTGGGACAACAGGTAAACAGTTTGGAAAGTAAAGTCTGTTTGGAACCTCACTTAACAGAATAAAGGTGAAATGGTTTAAAAAATTAAATAAATAAATGTATATATGATCATATGATTCCGTTTATATAAAATATCCAGAACACACAAATCCACACAGATAGAGAATAGATCTGTGGTTGCCTATGGCTGGGGAAAGGGGAGAGAGGAATGGGGAGGGCCTGCTAATGGGGACAGGGTTTCCTTTTGCGTTGGTAAAAATAGTCTGCAATTAGATAGAGATGATGGTTGCTCAACTTGGCAAACATGCTAAAAACCACTGAATTGTATGCTTTGAAAGGTCAAATTTTATGGTATATGAATCATATCTCAACAAAGTTGTTTAAAAAACACAGATTATCCAATCTCTGCATCCATCCAGGGAGGTCCAGGATCACCAGTTATTCTCTTATTAAAAAGTTAAATATATATATTTATATAAAAATATATATGTATTATATACAATATATATAAAACATTAGTTTTATATATATATATATATATATATATTTTTTTTTTTTTTTTTTCTTTTGAGACAGAGTCTTGCTCAGTCGCCCAGGCTGGAGTGCAATGGCATGATCTCGGCTCACCATAACCTCCGCCTCCTTGGTTCAAGCGATTCTCCTGTCTCAGCCTCCTGAGTACCTGGGATTATAGGCACCCGCCACCACACCCAGCTAATTTTTTGTATTTTAGTAGAGACAGGGTTTCACCGTATTGCCCAGGCTGATCTCGAACTCCTGAGCTCAGGCAATCTACCTACCTCCGCCTCCTGAAGGGCTAGGATTCCAGGCGTGAGCCACTGCACCAGGCCAAAAAGTTAAACATATATATTTTTAAACAAGCCTTTTAAAAATCTTTTAAAAATCAGCCGGGCGCAGTGGCACATGCCTGTAATCCCAGCACCTTGGGAAGCCGAGGAGGGCAGATCACTTGAGGCCAGGAGTTTGAGACCAGCCTGTCCAACATGGCGAAATCCCATCTCTACTAAAAATACAAAAAATTAGCCAGGCATGGTGGCACACGCCTATAGTCCCAACTACTCGAGGAGCTAAGGCAGAAGAATTGCTTGAACCCAGGGAACAGAGGTGGCAGTGAGCAGAGATCACGCCACCACATTCCAGCCTGGGTGACAGAACAAGACATTGTCTCAAAGAAAACAAAAATCTTTAAAAAAGAGAATTGACGGCTGGGCGCGGTGGCTTATGCCTGTAATTCCACCACTTTGGGAGGCCAAGGTGAGTGGATCACATTGTCAGGAGATTGAGACCATCCTGCTAACACAGTGAAACCCCGTCTCTACTAAAAATACAAAAAATTAACCGGGCATAGTGGCACGTGCCTGTAGTCCCAGCTACTCGGGAGGCTGAGGCTGGAGAATTGCTTAAACCCAGGAGGCGGAGGTTGCAGTGAGCCAAGATCCCGCCTGCACTCCAGACTGGGTGACAGAGCAATACTCCGTCTCAAAAAAAGAGAGAATCTACTAAAGTATATTTAAAAGAGTTACTTTCTAAGCTTGGATGTGACACAAGAGATCACACTTGTGAAAGATCAACAGGCTTGGGGGCACCTGATTTATAACTTGTGTATATTCATAAATATAAACCTCAGCTCTTCCTGGGAGTTAAAACACCTGGGGATTAACTAACAGGATAGTGTGGCCTGAATAAGTCATTCAGGTTTTTGTTCCCTTGACTATAAAACCTTAATAAGTAATTTAATGCAGTGATTATGTTCTTCTTCTGAATCCCAGCTTCTAATAAAATTTTGTCACCTTTCCTGATCCTCCATTTCCTTATCTGAAAAATGGAATTAATATATTAGTATTTGATACCAGCATTGTTTTGAGGATGAAATGAGATAATCTAAGTAAACATCTTAGCTTAACCCCTGTTAATTGAAATCCCTGGGGTTAGAGGACTGTTCCTGGCCTCTGATACACATGTTAGCAGGAAGTTCTTAGCAAATGGCTCTGACAGCTGTCTTTCTCAGAGGGCTGTGACCAGCCTGTGCAGAGCTCTGGTGGGTAGCTTTCAGCTCAGTCTTCCTGATTATATTTTCATTTCTTCTGGAACATCACTACAAACAAAGCAACAAGTTTGATCCTATGAACTAAGCATGGAGTTGGAATTCAAGGGTGACTAGCCAACAATGGGGGTTAGACCCTTTAGACCCTGGGATGGCCATGCGAATAAAGTAAAAAATACTTCAGTTTCTCTTTAACTATGCTATTAAAGATATTTATGTGCAATATCTGAAGCTTCACCTTAAGGGAGATATTTCACATAAAGAAGATGCCAATATTATTTTGCCTTAAATGTATAAAAACTATCATCTGTTTTGTAGCAAGAATCAGAAGAAAGATAAACCAAGCCCAAGAAAGATAAACCAAGACAGCAAACATTCTGGCAATAATAAGGTCTATT